TGCCTATAAAATGAGGCACAAAACCATTGATGAAATAAGATGAAAAAAGGAGTTTTTCCTACTCTCAAAATCTTTACCCTATGAAAAAAAATCATGCATATTTATGCTTATAATCATCGTCTCTTTTCATAATTACTATTTGAATATTGGTTGAATCCATGTTCAGCTCCATGGTATTATTAAAAGTATCATGCAGCTGTTGTTTTAAATTCATTTGAATGGTTAGCTCCGGATACTCGGTTCTCATTGGAATGAAGTCATAAGATTTTGGGCTTATTAGTACAAACTAAAGATCTGGTATTTTAGGCGGATATTGAAAAAATATCCTCTAAATTGTAAAATATATATATTGTAAGTTCACAATTTGTCAAATAAAACACTTGAGTTCCCTATATCTAACATTTTGGAGAGTAACAAAAAAAAGTCCTAAACTTAATAAAAAATTCTAGTCCCCATTTTTTTACACACAAAAAAATTAAAAATATCCTGTGTGTTATAAATTTAACCTGAATAAATAAAGAAGAAAGAAACACAGGAACAGGATAACATTGAGCAAGTCTCTCTTTTTCTCTGAAATGTGTTTATGGTTTACTTACTATTTATTGCAACTTTAGCATTAACCATGACCCTTGTTCCTTGAAAATTCAAAAGCTATTTAACAAAATAAGGGGTAAAGCTGAAGAATTATTAGATACAACATTATAAAATTATTTATTGTTGAAATATTTTAGCATCAATATTGACAAAGTTAGTGGGAGCAATTTATAGAAAATATTCTTATATTGTTAGAACATTATTTTTTCCTGTACAAAAGAGGACCAAAATATTATTTTTATTAACTTTAGATGATTTTGGGTTATGTCCAAGGAGTAAACAGTTTATTTGATGTTACATAAGTTAAAATGAGTATCTAAACATGTAGAAAATTAATAAAATCATAAACTTGTTTTGATTCGCGTTCCAATTGGCAGGTTTAGATGATCTTTATGATCATTTTATTGCTTGAGGATATCATTGATAATTAATGTCATGAGTTTTAATCTCCAGGATGCTAATTTGGGTAACCTGCATGCTGAAAGCTGTGAACAAAAGAGCGAAGATCAAAATTCCATGGTGCCAGATGGATTTTCAGACTTGCAGGATTTGCATATGAGAATAAAAGCTATTGAAGATGCACTAGTGGAAGTGGAAAGGGTTGAAATGGAGGAAAACTTAAATGCAAATTCCAAACTAGAAGCTGCAATGAGACAGATTGAAGAGTTAAAGTATGGAAGCAACTTGCAGAAAGTATACGTTCAACCAAGGAACCAACAGGAAGAAGAAATTGTGGTTGATAATGATTTCAATTTGCAGAAACAGAAAGTTGAAATCCCTGATGAGGGTAATGAGGTGACAACAAAAGATATCATGCTGGATCAAATATCGGAAAGTTCTTCTTATGGGATAAGCAGGAGAGAAACTGTGGAGATCGATAATCAGATGCTTGAAATGTGGGAAACCACTGGGCAGTCAAGCAGCATTGACCTGAAAGTTCAGAAGTCTCAAATTGAAACATCTAAGGAACAAAAGAGAAAAAAACCCTCCCGAGAATCATTGGTAGAGAAGGAGTTGGGTATTGACAAATTGGAGATATCTAAGAGATTTTCAGGGCTTCATCAAGAAGGAAGCAAGAGAAAAATTCTTGAAAGACTTGATTCTGATGCACAAAAGTTGACAAACCTGCAAATCACACTACAAGATTTAAAGAGGAAAGTAGAGATGAGTGAGAAGGGAAAAAATGAATATGATTCTGCTAAGTCTCAGCTTGAAGAATCTGAAGAGATGATCAGGAAGTTATTTGATGGGAACCGCAAACTGATGATGAATCTTGAAGATGGTTCCTTGTCATGGGATACCAAATCTGGTGAGTTAGACGAAAATATGAATATGAAACGACGAAAAATATTAGAACAGGCACGAAGAGGTTCTGAAAAAATTGGACGTTTGCAAATGGAGGTTCAGAAAATACAGTTTCTTTTGCTAAAACTTGATGATGAAAAGGAAAGCCGAGCAAAAACAAGAATCCCAGAAAGGAAAACCAGAGTGCTTCTGCGGGATTATCTCTATGGTGGGCTAAGAAGTAACCAAAAACGAAAGAAGAAACCATTTTGTGCATGTGTGCAACCTCCAACAAAGGGAGATTGAGGCCTTTATCATTATAATTACTCAGTGTTGTTTGCAAAGTTTCCTATTTAATTAGGATTGTTTTAGACGTCCATGTTTTTACTTTTAGACAATTTGGTCTTCTTTAGTTTAGAGATCTTGCTGTAAATTTCAGGTCCCGTCTAATGAAGAGAAGCTGCTTTTTGGAGCTTCTTTCTTTTATTTCTTTCTTTCTTTTTCCCCCTCTTG